CTGTAGGGTCAAGAAATTGGGGGCATTGCAACCATTTGACATACCAGCAACGTAAACAGCCACAGCTGCCTATGAATTATTTATATTTCATTTTAATTGGTGACATTAGTCTGAATATAATAGGCTTTACATATCTACGTGGGCAGGGTTCTTTTAAACACCACACTACTCTCAGTTGCAACTGTTAAACATCTATAGCCAGTCAAAAATAATATTCTGGCCTCTTTTTATCGTTGCAGTTTAAATCATGTTTGTCAAATGCTGAGGGCCATAGTGCTACCCTTTCTGACAGCATCATATCTATTCCAAATAAAGTTGTTGATAACACTTTTACAATTGGTGCCGGATTTTTTGTTGTTTCATGATCAGTCAGTATTGTTTGCTTTAATTGAAGATAAAATGACACAGACTTTGTTTTAGATAGCAGAACAGATGTAAATGTGATTTATACCTCACACTGACACAGGTCAAGATGTAAATATAGATGAATGCATTTGACTGCAAAGGCTTTGATCTATAGTATTAGAGGAGGGCAAAGGGAAAGAGGAAGCGCGGCATGACAAGCTCTGTGTTTCACTGACAGTCCTACTTTTTGTTGTGTTTTTTCCATGTCATTTATGAGGCACCAAAGAACATTTTGTGTATGGGCCTTGCCAGTTTCCCACTCAATTAGTTAGATATTTTCAACAAAGATGTGTCTCTCTTTATTCTTTGCTTCCACACTTCTACTTTGAATGTCTGTCATGCTCTCTCAAGGTTTTTTAATCTGGGCTACAGCATCAAAATCAGCTAAGTGCCTGTGGTGACACACTGTATGATGGTCTTTTCCTGCCCCTGCGAGAGCTTTAGGAAATATTCAGTGGATGTCAATACAGCCCCCAACTCTAATTGAAGCAGACGACATGCTGCCTGGAACTTGTTATGACATGCCATATTCTCACTTTCCACCACTATGTTTTCAGGGTGCATCATAATAGTCATACCACTAATAGTCATTCAAAACATATAAATACTATGTTAACAATTACAGTAAGCACTGCAAATAAATCTTACATATAAAAGCGTTGTTGTGAAGCCCAACATGCATTGATTTGTAACAATTTAGCCAGGTTTATCATCTTGAAGCACCAGGTTGAAACAAAAATAGGTCTTGCTTGCAAATTTTTGTTCATTTTGGTTGTGAGTTATGGTAGCGACCTGACCTCTTTTTTTCTAAAACAACAACACAGGCTGATAATTTCACAGCTGTCTATGTATAGGATAGTTTTGCTGAATTTTGTGGTGTCATTCCATTTTGTAGAGGCTTTATTCATGGCATTTAGTATTGAATTCACAAAGATCAAATGTTAAATGTACCACCTGATGAATTAAACAATATTTAAATATCTCCTGGAAACTGCAAGTTGGGCAAAAACAGGACACAGAAATGCAGCTGCAACATTGTTCTTACCAATCTCTCTCTCCATATGGACAAAACCATTTTTTTAATATTTCTGTAAACATTATAGAACATTTAAATGGTTTTTTTAACAAATAAAAATACAATACACTTTCCTTTTACTGTTTCACAATAAAATCAACTGTGTTCCAGTTGAACACCTTGACTGGATTAACTTGCCTCTGTAGGTGAGAGCTAGAAAAGTCAACTTTTCAGAAAAATGGCAGTGAAATAGCACCAATTTTACAGGGAAAAAAGCCATCAGTTATAAAGTTTAATCAGTTGTTTGATTGGTTTGAATTGGTTACTATTAGTTTATGTGAACATATTTCAGGTTGAACATAGACCAAACGTATGAGAAATTAATATTTTCTTTAGCAAGCAGATATAATTGAACTGACAGAAATTATGACTGTTGCTGGACGAAATGTATTCATTCATTAATTCATTCAGTTAAATTTTTACTCTAATTCTGTGTAAATCTGTTGCACATTATATTTCCCATCCAGTTGATCATTAAATGATGGTTTTCATGTCTGTGTGCAGTCTCTATACCTTGGCTGTAGCAAGGACAGACTATATTACAGACAGAACATACTGGACATATCAATATTTCAGGCAAGAAACCCAAACAAATCAATGCTACTTGTGCAACCTTTGGGTATCCTTTTCTTGCCTCAATGTATGCTTTTCTTTACTCAAAATATTGGACTTATAGTTTCATTCAATCTAAGTGTTATTACATAGATTAAGTATTTATTTGTGGATGTCCACATTATCCCTTATATTTTATCCTTTATTTCATACAGCCAGACATAATCTACCCAACCTCCCAAATGAGTTACTTAAACACCATAAAGCAATAATCACATATATCCCTGTCTTCCTTCCATGCAGCTACGATACCATTTATCTCCTCTTAACTTTCTTTGATAGGTCATTAAACCCGGTCTTGGAGCTGTGAAACAAAGCACTGAATCATGTCATGCTGTAGGTTCCATCTTCTGGCATTTCTTATCTGGGGCAGAAAGGCTGAAGCATATATGGCTGCCTTATATAGTTTTATATTAAAATGGATAGTGACCAAACTATGAGAGACATTCTGTGACAATCAACTGACATCTATGACAGAGAGAAAGAAACGAATAACAGGCACATTGAGCGAGCCTGGCAGGCAGTGGAGAGAGATAAAATTTGGTACCACAGTTGCATAACTACAAATAAAATCTTGCAGTTATTTCAGCTTAAAAGTTTGCTCTAGATTTGAGGTACAGCAACGTGTACCCCTTAAAGAGCTAAGTCATGGAACAAGAGTGGAAGCTGAATCAGCATGTACTAGCTTGAGTGGTGTGTCCTGTCCTGCCAGATGAGCACTTGTGTCTTTGCTGCGTAAAGGAATTGCAAAGTTCATGAGAAAGACTTCTGCAAATCAGCAGCAAAGACCTCTATTTATTTATTTTCTGGCTTTAAGACAATGCATAAACATATATGGTTAGCAATGCTTTTCAATTTGTTTGAAGCGTTCAAAATGTATAAAAAAAATGTGCCCTGTGAGGACACTGTCAAGATATTACCTGTGAAATGTCTGGTACATTACGAATTACATAACATAACAGTCCACTGGCAGAAAAGAAATTGAACTTTAAATGCTAATAAGTGCTGAACAGAGTAGTAAAAATTGCTTCCATCAAGCCAGACACATTGCTGACTACATGTCAGAAAAATCAAACTAAGTGACCGATCAATTGGAGTGGGCCCACGTATTCAGGAGGAAAGCTTGTGATTAGGCTATTATAAAGCGTTCTTGAGTAATTTTTATTCATAGCACTTACTTTTTAACTGAACATTCAACAATGCATTTTTCAAATGTGATAACAAAGCAGTATACTATCGTATTCAATCTAAAAAAAACAAAAAAAACCCCAAAAAAAACAAAGGCAACATTTTGACATTATTTTACACACCCCTGCCATATCTGCATGTTTCAAAAACCTGGGTTCCTAATATCAAGCTTGTAATACTTTACTTTCTAAGGACAGTTTCTGCCATTTAGTTCAGTTCAATTCTTCAGTTCTAAGAGCAATTGGTGGAGAATCCATGATTTTTAAGTCCTATGGGAATGTCCCCAAGGGGGTCGTGGACCCCCTATTGATCCTCTACCTAATCACACGAGCCAAGGTGTGAAAACGGGCGTGGGTCACAATCAGCCAAGGCTTCCGATGAACCCACAGTGAAAACCTAGCCTCCCACCCTATCATGTGATTTCCTGAGGTCAAATGGTCCAGGATGTGAGTGGGCGTTAAAGCGTCTGGGAGTTAAGGCCAAATCTCTTTCCAAGGTGCTTAGACTACGATGACCTGGATGCCTGAGAACCTTCACAGACATGTAGGACCCAAGAGGTTTTTAGTTTGTCTGTTTTTTAATTTTTTTTAAAAAAAAGCTTAGTCATTAGGATCTCGTGAAATTTGGTAATGACCAAATGAGGTGACATTAGTTTTCCCTGCAGGGACTTGGTCTCCAAGATCCAGTGAGAAAACTGGAAATCCTCATGGGTTTAGGAACAGGTGGAGGCACTGGGACCAAACATGGCCTCATTAAACGTATATTTTCCACCAGAGAGAGAAGCTGGATGTCAGACCAATCAAATTATCACGTGGTTTTTAAATAATCTAAGATGGAGTATATGACAAACAAAATCGGTGGCAGAGCTGCTGTTTCTCAGAGATGCACTGAACAGAAAATAAGGTCATAACTATGTAATGATGTAATCTGTCAAAGCCATATGGAAATTTGCAGCATTTGACGATTAGAACACACTGCAGTAATCAAAAAAGTGTTTTTCCTAAATTCTAAATAAACCTCTAGATACACATTCACATAAAAGAAATGTATGCAGAAAGAATGCAAGATGATAATGGCAATTTCTGATTAAAATAGCAATAAACAATCAATTACAGTTAAAAATACACCAGGAATTCTTGAATAGAGATATTTGTAATGTTTTCGGTGAAATCTTTTCTTGATGCGGGTCTCGATGGACAGAAACAAGCTTCATAAACATTCACACTTATTCTCCATGATCTTTTTACACTGCAAAAACATGAAAACATCAAGGGCAGAATGAGTTGTAGTTAAGTCAGTGTTGCTTTTTTTTTGTGCACTGTGTATTTTTATATTTTCTTTCTTGAGAATTAAGTCAGAGCATGATGAAGAGGAAATGACCTTGAGCAGTTTTCAGGAAAACATACTGCATTACAGAGGAACATCGCAGGAAGCTGGTCAGATTACAAACTAAGCAACAATGATTATGCATGGTTGTGCCAGACTGAATAAACACAAGAGAATACAGTGCATCTTCATTATTGGCCTCTGTTTTTAAAATTTTTTTTAATGTTTTATTGCCTCATACAGTTGTATTCACATGAAAGACCCCAGTGTGCACTAGCTTTTCAGATAGAATTTCTATAAGTAATGTAGCTGCATTGTTAATGTTAATTGTTAATGTTAGTAGTGTAATATAAGGTATGTTGTTGAGAGCATGTTTTTCACTGGTGTTTTGCAGGGAATTTGCACGTTGGAAGGTGAGGAACACTGCAATTGAAAGGAGGGATCTTATTCGGAACCCTGTGCCACTCATGCCTGAGTTCCAGCGCAGTGTACGCCTGCTGGGACGCAGGCCCACTACTCAGCAGTTCATTGACACTATCATTAAGAAATATGGAACTCACATTCTCATCTCAGCCACCCTGGGAGGTAAGAGAGGTTCACATGTTTCATTTGCTCACTTCCATGCTTGATTAACAATATTACTTGTTTTTCCACACTGGCTGAAAAAGCTTATTACACATGGCTTGCTTAAAAGGTTCATGTCAATGAAAGAATTTATATGTAAGGGAGGATTTCTTTCAAGAAAAGTCTTTCAGGTCTGTTAGGAGTTTTGGACATGCATATGTAATGTATTTTTAAAAAATCTGATGATACACAGTATAACAAAAAAAATCAAGTATTTGGTAAGTTTTATTCCTTTTTGTTAATATTGCGATCAAATGCCCCTGCATGATTTCCACTGTGAAAATTCAACCTAATATTGTCCAGGATTATTTATTTACCAGCTTGCTAACAACGTCACATCAACTCAGTAAAGTAGCTTGAGGTCAACTCTTTCTTCATGGTTTTGAAAAACTCAGCCGCAGCTACATCACAAAAGAGCAGAAGAAAGCGGACGTGAAAATGTTCTCCAACCAAATCAAAAAAGCTGGGATTTTCAAGTGACTAACAAACAAGAGCATAAGTGTTTCCAATAAAGTGTAGCTGTTTCATTACAGAGAAAATATAACCTTTAACTCTTTCTCCCATGAACATGACATTTGACGACCTCCCCTGTGTCCTTTATAATGAGTTTTGACACCTCAGAATGTGTCATTAAAGACGTGGTTTGATGAGCACTAGAGAAGGTTTTTCCAAGGGTAGCCCTAGTAAGCTGTATAGGCAGAAATCACTTTCACTAGTGCACCCAGTCATTTTGTTCTGGAGGCAGGTCTGAACAGCAGCCGCTCAGTTCAGAAAACAGAAACAAGGGTTACTCTAGTAGGCATCCAGGGGGGGAAAGTTAAGAATATATATAAACAGTTTATGACTATATGAAAGACAAAACATTAATGAGAAAATTACAGGAAATTGCCAGGTGTCCTGATTTGTCAGCTGTCCATGGTTAGTAACTTGTACAGAATTGCAGGCAATCAACCAAATGGAAATGGCATGCTGTCTGCTAGATTTTTCATCTGGAAACAATTTCAGAAACATGTATTAAGTAGAGAGACAAAGACACATTTCTATTTCTATTTTCAGTTCATGATAATTGATCATTTCAGTGAACACTTTTCTCAGAAAACAGATTATCAGTCTGTATGAAAACCAATAAATGTGATTATGATGATGCTTTACATGGGCACTTGAAAGGTATTAGTAAAGGAATCCCAAAGAAGTTTAGTAGGGAAGGTAAGCTGCTGTTGCACCAAAAACATAAATAAACATAGCAAGAGCTAAGGTGTAAGGGAAGGTGTAGCTGAATCAGAAACCCTTGCAAAAAGTATAATTCAACTTACATATGATCTTCAAACTTACCTTTACTTTAAGGGACACAGTGTGCACTTCTGTGATTAATCTATAAGCATGACAGATCATCAAATTTCAGTGTAGATTGCAAATATTATAGAAGATTCATTCTATAGCTACTGTTAGTTACTATGAATATCAACACTGTTCTTAATTTCTAAAGAATTAATCAATTCAATTAATTTACAGTGAAAAAGAAAAGAAAAAAAGCATCAAAAGTATATTGAATGTACTTCACCCTAAAAAAAAAAAAAAGGTAAGCACCTGTGCTCTCCTAGCCTAACAATAAATGCTTTCTCCTCGCTATGTCTTATCTTATCACAAGCTCGGAGGGATGGATGAAGGCAGCTTACTCTGATTATGTTCCCAACTGCATTTTAAAGATATAATTAGTAAGATAATCTGCTCTGTTATTCAAACCTTGAATTATATAATTGCATGCATGAAACATTGCCAAGTAGTCGCTTCACTTGTGTAAATTGCCGTTTGTACTGCAGTTTTGTAATCTCATGATCGAATGCCTCTGAAAAATATTCTTTATACTTTTGTCATTATTATGATGCTGTTCAACAGGCTTGGGTCATGTTGCTCCAGACTTGACAAAGCTTGGGAAATGTGCATTTATGTACCCCAGTATCAATTATTCAGAGAGAACTGGTGTCTTTTAATTTAATTTTTAATTAAGTAACCTCAAACTATATTTGTATGTCAGAAGTGATATCTTCAAGTGGAACTGATGCTTAAGCATTAAGGGAAAAAAATAAATCTGGTAGCAGATTTCTTTACTTTCAAATATAAAGTCGGCTTTAATTATTTAGTTACACTGTGCAGATGAATATTAGATGTGAAGAGTTAGAACTGGGATATTGTATAACCCACCCTGTAAAGTGATTCATCCTGCAACACCTTTTTTTTGGAAATTGGAAATACAATATTGAGCTGAAACATCATATGGGGGTGAAATAAAATTAGGAAGAATCCTAATACAACAGGTACATCAGATGGCTAAAACAGTTGAAAATAACCACAGTATCATTTTCACCCACAGCATCCTCCTTAAGGTTATTGAATTGCATCACCATATGTGGTTCCTCTATATTTTTACAGATATCCCCGAGCTCATCTACTTTGCCCCTGAGTTATCATCATGTTTTCTTTAACCTTCAGGCCTTTGTTTCAATTTATGGGTCAGCAAACTCTTATGTCAATCTTGGAATTGCCCATTAATGGTTATATGAACCAAGAAATGTGCATTCAATACTAGAGATGAAGTAAGAAGAGGAGGCTAATTCTCTCTTTAGCCACCTACACTTTGTGGTCTCATGAGTCATTATACACTTGAGAGGAAAGAAATGAATTCTCCTTCTCCCAGGCAACTTAAAGTTGAGTGTTCAAGTGTGAAGAGCGCCATTAGAGCCCCTCCGCCCCACCCGGAAACTGAAAGAAAATGTTACAATGAATTACCATTGTTATGTCACCTAGCATGAGTCGTTACTTCTTCCTTTCTTTGTCTTTGAGCTCTAAAGAGCTAATGAAAAGGTGTACATAGTCACAGCCTCTTCTCAATATCTTTTGTTTTTACTTTTTTTAATTAAAGGCAAAATGAATTCAGTTGGGTAGTTTGTCATTTATATTTGTTGTTGTTAAAGAGTTTCATGTAAAAGAGGTAGGATCAATGCTATGCTAATGAATGCTAATGAACTAGCTTTCTGTGTTACTAATTGCCTGCAAATATGGTGCTGTGGTAATGACAGGGTTAACTAAGAAGCAGATATTCTTATCTGAGCACTGACTGACAACGTCAAGGGAAAACATTTGTTGTCTGAACATTTTTGACTGTTTTAATTAGATCTCAGTTTGTGGCACATTTTTTACATTTTGTTCGTTTGTTTGACTTTTCTTAATGAGTATCAAGTTATGTGTATTTTGAAGTGTAGCATATGATCTGAGTAGGGCTGCCACGATTAGTCAACTAGTCACGATTACGTTGTCTATCAAAATCGACAACGACTGATTTAATAGTCGACGCGTCGTTTGAAGCTTTGTAAGATCCCAAAAGACGCAGGAATAAGTAGTAGGATTTAAGAGTGTAATAACGGACTGAAACAGAAAATGGCAGCACTGCATGTACAAGGATGCCAGCTGCCGTTAAACCCCGAAGAAGAAGAAGTAGCTCTGTCCCAGAATTCATAGCGCAGCCCAGCTCAGTTTCCAACAATGGCGGCAGCTAGTTAGTTTTAATATTACTCTTATTATTCTTTCTGGGTCACAAAATAAACGTTTAACATATTTTCAGGTGAGAATGTAGCTGTGTAAACCTCAAATATCTGCTCAGTTTATCAAGACACCACATATTTTCAAAAGCGCTCCGACGTTTTCGGAGACGTCTGTTACCCACTAGCTCGATAGCTAGCCGGGGGCAAGGCTCACTAGAGCCGGTGAGAACACCGGACTCCCGGCAAATCGTTTTCAAACCCATCTTTCGCTACTCAGGTTAAACATATATAAGTCACTTAGATAACTTAAAAATGTTATTGTTTGGCTTTTTTTTAGTATTTTATTTGTTCCTGAGTAAATTGGTTTGGCTGAGATCAAAGTTATAGTTTTTGCACAGCTGAATAAACGTCCAGCAGACAGCTGATTATCAGAAGTGTGAGATGCTCGAGAATATACTCCGGTGTCCCGGTATATTTTAGATAGCAAGGAGTTTATTAAACTTCACCGAAACAATCTGCAAATTTCATTAAAATTTAATAAACTATCATCTTGTCTTTATTTTTAGTTAGCACATACCTTAAACACTTAAAACTGTAAGCTAATGATAGTTATATAAGAGCAGATGCTGCTGGTGCAATAATCTATACGTTTTATGTCCAATGGATGCATGATCTGATTAGTCGACTAATCGCAAAAATAATCAGTGACTAGTCGACAGAGATGGGCAGTAACGCGTTACTTGTAACGCGTTACTGTAATCTGATTACTTTTTTCAAGTAACGAGTAAAGTAAGGGATTACTATTGCAAAAACGGTAATTAGATTACCGTTACTTTCCCGTAGGAACGCTGCGTTACTGCGTTACTAAAACCATGATTTTTCGCGAGAATGTCTCACGACAGTGACATAAGCGAGTGTGCCGTTAGTAACAACAGCTGTGTGCAGATCAACAATGGATCACATATCGATTGTGGGAGAGAGTATGAGCGTGCAGCGTTTAAAGCGTGGAAGTACTGACCTTACTTTGAGTTTGACTCCATAAAATGTGACAAAAACATTAGCGTCCATTGTGCGTGGGAAGAAAACTTCTTTTTACAGCGAAAAAAACCCCTAAACTTCCAAGCAAGCACCGAGTGCGCAACGACATAATGGGAAATTCACAGAGAAAGTCGCGGTTTCTTCAACTGACCGCGGCACACGTGCACCAGGGTAAACCTCCGCCTATCCCAGTCCTGCTTTACAGGTGAAAATAGAGCAACAGGACCGCTGAGTCTTTGACTTTATTTATTTTCTGCTGTGTTTTACTTGCATCTATTTGAAAGAGTGAGTGTAAACACAAAAAATATTTTATTTTATGTGCTGGAATGTGCAGAAAATAGCTTTAAATGTCAAACTAATTTATTCAAGTCAGAGAATGGTGCATATAATTAAATTTTTGCTTGATGCATAAAGTTAAAAGATTAAAACTGATAAAACAAGTTAAAAAAAGAGACTTTTCCATTTGATTACATTTTATATGATGGATTATGTAGAAAAAGTAGAATTGGGCTGAAAGATCTATCGCTTTATCACCTCTTCAGGTTGTAAATCGTGTTTTTAAAAAGTAACTAAGTAACTAAGTAATTAATTACTTTTGAAAATAAGTAATCAGTAAAGTAACTTCTTTGGGGAAGTAATCAGTAATTAGTTACTGATTACTTTTTTCAAGTAACTTGACCAACACTGCTAGTCGACTATCAAAATAATAGTTTGTGGCAGCCCTAGATCTGAGTTTAGCCCACTGCGGTTAAAAGACTTGAAGCAGTTAAAGTGAAAATATACCTCAGTTTATGTTTTAACTGAATTTGAAGATGAAATAAATAAATTAATAATTAAATAATATGTACATAAAACAGTTGGCACAAATATTTAACACCTCAGGCTCTTTGCCTGAGAACAATAGTGTAAGTGAAGCACATTTGCTGACAGGAAAATTCAACCTTTCGGTGTGTCAGTAGTGAAGACGTCTGCAAAAGTAAGGCTGTATATAAATGCTAGAGGAGGTATTGCTTTTAGGGAATGTGAAGGACAGATTTGCATTTTGCTAAAGCTGTAAGGAATATATTTTAGCACATCTGTCATTTTCTATCCTTCACATGCTTGAAATCATTTTTCCACTTTAAGTGAGAGAACTGCTGTTTCACTGTGACTTCCATGGGTGTGTGCACAGCCAACTATAGAGCATCTGAGTCGAGTCAGGGAATAGAGAAAAAAAGCTTAAAAGGAGACACATCCAATTAAATCCAGCAGACAACTATAGCTACTTTGGAGAGTTCATTGTCCTACATACATCTGTGTGGAGGGATTTAAAAAATACACGTTCTGCTCAAACATTTTGCAAAACAGCAAACACTGTCGCTTTAATTGACAACATTCATTTCTGCCTAGCTTTTGCCACTAAGAACTAATCTACATTAACAACAACAACCACAGTGCATTTTTTAAAAATGTATTTGTAGTTAACTGAGAAAGAGTGCATTTACTTTACGCTCTGTTAGAGCTGTTGCGCTAATAACTGCATGTTAGCTGAGGAGACTCCTTTGCCAACCAACACTCTGTTGTGATTACACAGACTGACTGAATGAAACTTATTCAGTGTCTCATATCTTCTGCCATGAAAAAAAAGAAATAGTTTATTGAAATGACTTGTGGTTGCCCAAGGCTAAAGTTCATATGCAGAACTATGGCTGTGCCTCTGGTTGTAGAGTAAAACTGCCCAGTGAAACTTGCCAACGCTTCTGTCAACAACAATATCTTTTACTCCATTATACCAGAATATATCTTGCATAAACCCGAAGCAAATGTGTAACTGGCAATAGCGTTATGCCGCTGAAGAGAAGGGTAGAAAATTGGTTGTGAGTGTTACATATACATTTTATTATAAGCGTTAACCTGTTTTAATCACGAGATTATTCATAAGAGAAGTAAGATGTTTACAATAGAGCTAAGTTGTTGGGTTGTGAAATAGAATTCATCCTATATTGGTTTATTATTTACACAATTTTTGTCATCAAACATATGTATATATAGTTAAGTACAAAAAATAGATGTAATTTTTCTGTAACGAAGTAACTAAAGTAACTGCAGACAGCAGCACCTATCAGCAAATGCAGGGTATGTTTGTGTGTGTCCTGTGAATCTGTGACTAGGTTATGAAGTCATTTGAAAGCACTCACTTAGGTTCTTTGAAAAGGTTTCCCACACATGTACCACTGGCATAAAATGGGGCTCTCCCTACCATTCCATTACACTAGGCAGTCACATATCCTCCATGACCTCTACATTCATGCAAACACAAGGAAAGTGAAAAAAAAAAGAAAAAGAAATTCAGAAAACATGCTTGTATACATGCACGGAAACACTGATTTGAGATGAAACAGTTTAAAATACCTCTCAGCTGTAAACACATACACCCTACACGAGCTGATTATTTCTGGCAATGTGTCAGCGAGGTGCCCCGCAATAATGTAGCACAATGTATTACTTATAGAAAGGTGCACACAAATGACTTTTTTAAAGCCAGAGAGGTAATGATTTTTCCTGGCCAGCTAGCAATAACCACAAAATATTTATGTATAGAAGACCTTTATGCCACACTAAGTTGAAATAGTGATAAAAAATGGCAGATCAAGGGCTTAATGTGGGACTATTATTCTTGTGCAGTGGTGTAAGTCGAGTGTATGTAAGTAACTTTGCTAACCCCTGAGGGACAGAGAGCATTGCAGCATCGGAGAATCGGCCCTCGTCCCCTCAGTGTTTGTACTCTAACCAGGCATGAGACATTGGCCCTGACTGCTACCCACCCCTAGTCACGGTCACCACAAGTTAAATGACCAATTCCAATGCATCGCTTGGGGCCAAATAACCATTCACAGCACTGTAAACCTGAACATATGTGACACGCTCTTGAAATAGTTCCAAGCATATGGTTTGCCATTTGAACAGTAATCTTTGCAGGATAGATTGTGTGAGCTTGCAGAAGTGAACTGATATTTGCTTGTTTGCTTTTTATGAATCTGTTTCTCCTTGTGGGAATGAAAGACTGAGAAATATGATGTGTACTGATTGAGCATCTCAGCTCTTTTTAGTGAGTCAACAAACGAGCACAAGACATGCAAACTGAAATGGTTGTCTGGTGCGCTGTAAATATTTAGGCCCTTTGCTGATCTAGACTTTCATATTCTTGACCTTACAGACACTTTCTGCAAGATCAGGTTGAATTCAGTGAGTTGACACACTTACCGGTACTTCTCTTTTTCAAGTGTTTTCTGAAGTGTAAAGACGGACTTACTTTGTCATCTTTGATAATAATAGCATTTAAATTATGAAGTATGTAATCAGTATAGGATCAGTAATGTGATTGAACTGAATACAGTATTTTTGTAAAAATATATAACTGGGGGAGGATCTGGGATTTGTGCAGTCTTCTTGAGGTAGCTAAACTGGTTCCACTACTTACTTTTACCCTTTTCGTATTTTTCTTTTAAAATATTTGCATTCAATTATTTCAAATCAATTATTTGTGTGTTTGTATCATGCCTATTCTTTTCCCGTTCTGGGTTCTTTTCCAAGAAAAATTCGGATGTGATATATTTACCACAAGACCACAGGATGAAATTCCTGTGGTATTGTGGTAAAAATTCTATATCACTACACCTCTTGTGGAAATAATGCAATCCCAATAGGGGTAAATCTAAGGGCATTTTCTGGGGATGGTGCCAGCTGGGGATGAAGCAGCAAATATGTGACTGTTCTGGGAAACCTAAGGCATCTGGTTTCTCAAGCTAAAGCTCCTAGCATTGGTATTCATCTCTGACTTCTCTGTTATATTGAGTGCTCCACCGGCAACCAAGATAAGACTGAATATGACAACTTTCACATTCAATATATGTACAGCTCTTGCTTCACTTTTGTAGTACACTGGATTAAAAAATAATGTCTTCATTGCCTTAAAAAGTTCTTAAAAAACATGCTTATATAATTCCATTTCTTTTTGCCACTTGCAGGGGAGGAGGCACTGACAATGTACCTGGCCAAAAACAAGCTGGACAGAAAGCTTGCCAATGCTACTCAGAATGTGGAAGCCCTTCATCAGTTGGCTTCGTCTTACTTCATTGACCGTGACGGTACAATGAGGAAGCTGCATGAGATCCAGATTTCCACCAATGCCATCAAGGTTAGCAGATTTTAAACATGCACATTCACATACAAATATTTTTGGTTCCTGATTTGTTGTGCATGAATTTATGCTTTTTCATAATACATGTATAGATGTATTGTGATATTCAGTGCAAAGGAAGTGCGTCAAATTGACAAGTGAATTTCATGTGTGCTCACTTAGACAGTCAGAGAAATACTTACTTTCTCTTCCTCTAGAGAGACATATGTTGCATAATACAAATAAATTAAAGTGAAAAGACAAAAACACAAACACAGTGCATTTCATGAATATACATTAGCCATTGTAAGGATGGTGGAAATAATCTGAATGTAATACAGGGTGTCTTAATTAGCATATTTTTCCAAAGTATAGAGGAGCAAGCACGACGATAGATAACCAGTGTTAATGATGGCACCACAGGCTGAAGACTGAAAGTAGATATACTATACACATACAGTAGTAAACACTTTGATTGGACAGACAAGTTTCCTATATGGATGCTTATGAGAAGTCAGGGTCAGATGATAATCTGCAACACATACACACATGATAATGTGCATTAGTGCACAGGAATGATTTTTTTACTGCTAAAGACAATATATTTGTTTTCATCAGTGTTCACCGAATAACTGAAACAACAGCAACAAAGGAAAAACAAACACACAACTGTATTTGTAGTGTGAGCCTGCTGCATGCAACTGCTTGCTCACTGTTTATTCAGACTGATTCACCCTTTCAGTGAGGAGAGGGGGCTAGGAGCAGCAGTTGTAAAAACATGTAGATGTGCCCTGAAATGACAGCTGTACAAATACGTATGTTTATTTAACAGAAATTGTAGATTGGGAAGGACCATATAAAATCATACCAATCTGAGAAAGAACTGAGGAAAGTTGTGTTTGTTTGGAAATAGAGCAGGAAGCTAACATGCCCTGAGGTAAAACTGTGTCTGCTGCAGTCAAATATTAACTACTCTGAGTGAGTTAGCTGGTGTTAATTTCAAGCCCAGCTGATCATAATTATTTAGACTTCTCTAGTTTTCCAGGCATTTGCAATCACACAATTCTTAGTGAAAAAAAAGCTTGCAGATGAGAAATTAGGCAGCGAATGCTACCTAATATATAAATAGGATGTTGTCTTGTAAATGTCATCAAAGATATAACTATAAAAGGTCAGCTGGACAAATTTTGAATTTTCAGTTGTGAAGGCCTGTTTCAAAATGTGTGCCCGAATCTATCTATAAATGGTAAATGGCCTGTATTTATATAGCGCTTTTACTAGTCCCTAAGGACCCCAAAGCGCTTTACATATCCAGTCATCCACCCAATATATATATATATATATATATATATATATATATATATATATATATATATATATATATATATAAATATATATATATATATATATTTATTTATTTGACAAATTCTTTGACAGATTCTTTGCCTTATTCTGGGTAATGGCTAGAAATAGTGTTGAAATCCCCGTAACTCTAAAATTCCCACAGCAGTTGTGATGCACCTGTGCTTGCACACCTGCACTAAAATCTGCAGGATAACTCTCTTATACCCCTCACCAATGCTCCACCTCCCTATCTTCATTCAAGGAGCAGATCCTGAGCTTTTTGTTGTTGTGAGTGACAAGTGGATTAAGGGGGTTTGGCAGATGAGAGTCCAGGTAGCAGGAAGTCAAGCATGACAAAATTAAGCAGACCTGACAGTGGCTGCTGAGTCAGTTTCTCAGAAAAGGAAGGCAGGGCGTGTGGAGAAGAGAGACCATCCATATAGCACACATACACAAAGACACACACACACACTCACAAACACACACATCGAAAGCTGAGAGGGCTACATGTCTTCTGATCCAAACCGATGGACCAATAACGTATTTCAAGAGGAGAGGGGTTTTTTTTTAAACTTGAGAAAGGGGTGGGAATGGATTGGTGATGGGTAAGTTAAGGAGCTAATGTCACGCAAGAAGGGTTTCTTGTGCTTATCACGTACTGCATGAGGGTTAGTAATGAGTTGTCTTAGACACTAAATTGATGTTTTTTGCTTTTTAACAGGATAAAATAGCCACCTAATAGGTCTGTTCTATCAAGTGAAACAAACATGGCTGTGCACAGTCAGAATGGCAGTGAACTTGTAGCGTGGGTGGTGCAATCCAGCAGTTACATAAAAGAATGGAACACAAATCCATGCTTTTATTGGTTAAAACTATGGTTCCCAAGCTCTTTTTGCTAGACCCCCCTTTGTCTTACAAGAAAAATGTTCGCCCCCCTGAAACGCAGCTGTTTCGTCCACACGTAAACGGCGTTTCGAAACACCGAAACGGAGATTTTTTAAAACTCCTTTTTTTGAGTTTACGTGTGGACGAGGAATACAGAGTTCGTCACGCAACATCAAAGGTATGTGCTTTTTTTTCACGTCAGGCTGTGCGCCACGTTATTGTTTACATGAGATGAATTGCAGAATGGCAGATAGAGACAAAATACTGTTAATCTGACTATCTGCAGGTATTACATGCTTACATACACACGTAGTTACTGTCCCTCCATTTAGAAAGGCAGAGGCGTCACGATGTAATTATTTTATGTGTAGTTGTTTTTTTCCTGTGTAATAATATTCAACATTGCTATCAATACATTTTTCAAAAAATGCCTCTCTGTGCAAAATGAGTTCAAAAACATAAACAGCTGTGGGATACTGTTTGTCTGTGATTTGAACCGGGCAACAGATCGTGGCAGGATCAGCCTGATGTTATTTGGATCCCGCTGTAACTTTACAGTATAAAGAGCTAACATCTCCAAAATGTCAGGAGTAGTTAGTCATTATGAGAAGTGTTTGTGAACTAAAAATCAAGAATGTGGGATACTGTTTGTCCGTGATTTGAACAGCCCAGCGCTGCTCCCAACGAAGGGAAAACCAATTCTGCAGGGGAGACCTACCTCGGAACTTGTGCAGGTGAAACCAAAGCGAAGATATGCTTCACCATATTTTCTAGTCTTTAGCTTAGAATAAAGTTGGTTTGGAAACATATTCAGCGATGTTTCATCTCCTGCTTTGCGTTTGTGTGGGCGCCTCATGCTAGCAGTGTCCAAGCATTTTTTTTTCCCCCTTTTCATACCGCACCCCCTCTGCAATGGCTCTGCGCCCACCCCCCACCCCAATAGAAATATGTGGTGACTAGATTAGAGTCCTTGCCCTTTGCATGTAGTTTCCTATTTTATTATTATATTGATTTACTGGAACTATTTGGGCATCAGCCTTTCTGCAGTGGGTGTGTTACACCCAGCAAGTAAGAGTGCTTGGGGTGTGAGGGGGAGACTTTTTAAGAATATCAACTTCTTTCTTTTTTACTCCACAGAGTAGCAATTGGCTATAATTTGTACTTTTGTTTAGGAATATTTTAACTGGAGAGTGTCCGGATAGCTTGTCTTAATGGCTAGGGCTGCCACGATTAGTCGACTAGTCACGATTACGTCGACGATTAAGGAATTTAATTTTCGGAGACGTCTGTTACCCACCAGCTTGATAGCTAGAGGGTTCGAGGCTCACTAGAGCCGGCGAGAACAGCCTATTCCCGGCACATCATTTTCAACCCCCCCGCGGTCTTTCGCTACTCAGGGTAAACATGATATATAAGTCACTTGGATAATTTAAAAATGTTATTGTTTGGCTTTTTTCAGTGTTTTATTTGTTCCTCAGTAAATTGGTTTGGCTGAGATTAAAGTTATAGTTTTTACACAGCTGAACAAATGTCAGACAGAAAACTGATTAAACAGAAGTGTGAAATGGTAGAGAATTTACTCTAGTGTCCTGTTATGTTTTACATTGAATGAACAGACGGCCGAGTTTATTAAACTCCACCGAGACAATCTGCAAATTTCATTAAAAGTTTAATAAACTATCATCTTGTCTTTATTTTTAGTTGGCACATACCTTAAACACTTAAAGCTGTAAACTAATGATAGTTATATAAGAGCAGATGCTGCTGGTGCAATAAGCTGTACGTTTTACATCCAATGGATGCATGATCTGATTAGTCGACTAATCGCAAAAATAATCGGTGACTAGTCGACTATCAAAATAATCGTTCGTGGCAGCCCTATTAATGGCACATGATACCAGTATCATGTTTGAGAAGTAGCAGACTGTTTTCTGATGGACCCATGTAAAATCAGGAGCACTTTCTCTCACATGAAAGCTGTTTACTATATTCTATTGCATGCTATTATTTGCTTTTTAATGCACACACATTTGCACATCTTTTAAGAGTAAAGAGGTGCATACTTAATTGTATTGTTTTTAGGGAAATCTGTGTTAAAAACACCTAAAACAGTGGCTGAGCATGTGCTAAAAATGTAAAAATACATTCAGCATTATATACTGTATATTTTTTAGTAATACTAATAACATTGGTAATATATGTTAACCTTGTCTGATATTCAAAATGCAAAACATATTCAAAACAAAATGCATTTAGGATGAATCTGTATTTTCCTTTTACTTGACTAAAAATAAAGGCAGCCTAAATTGCAGTTCTCCAGTCACGTCGGCTGCAGACAGACAGTGATCAAAATGTGCAGTGGAAGCAAAGTCCATCAGAAGGCACGGATCTATAAACACAGAGAACAAGGGCTTTGCTCCTCCAATATTGATTTAGTATGGCTGTAAGTCCTGCTTTGGAGTGCAAACTTACAATCAGGATAAAAAACATGCATCAATACAGCAGAAATGTTTTCCACATTTCCCATCTGCAGGTAAGCAGGTTGAAAGTCAGTTCCGTTGAAATAGTTTGTAAAATGTTCAAAATCTGACCTCTGTGAGATTCAATATTTAATACATTTATTCACTATTAGTTCATTCAGCATCTGTCTAACACTCTTATTACCCTGAGGATTTATAGTAGCTTGAATACACACAGTCTCATGAAAACGTATTTTTTATTCTTACCTGGGTTATCTTTTTGTACTCTTTTTGTACCTTCAAACAAATATTGTTTTTTTAAAGCACTGT